AAAGAGATGCAAGAAGAGTTACAAAAGATACAACAAGAATGACACTTGAGAATGGAGCAGTAAAAAAATCAATTCTAGATCAAATATTGCAAAGTCAAGCCAGTATGATGAATGAAATGATGACCAAGATGTTTGGGTTACAAATAAAGCAGCTAAAGAGCCAAGTACTACTTTGGCTTCTGGCCATGAGTCTACCCCGAGATTAATTATTTCCCTTGAAAAGTTAATTGAACATCCTGTAAGGTCTTCAGCAACAAAGATTCAAATGGTGGGCACAACTAATCCTCAAAATAGACCTCATGTATATATGGATGTAGATCCTGAGGAAATGGAGAAATCTAAAACCGATATACTAGAACATTTAAAGGATTGGTGCAAAGGGTTTCTTAAAGAGATGGGAAAGTAGAGTTATTAAGATGGAATGGAGGCAGAAGAACTGAGTCTAGTGCCAGACTTGATCTTACCACCAAAGTTCAAAATGCTTGAATTTGAAAAGTATGATAGAAAAATGTGTCCAGTCGCTCATTTGACCATGTTTTGTCGAAGAATGACGGGATTGGGGAAGGATGATGGACTGTTAATTCATTGCTTTCAGGCCAGTTTGACAGGGACAACTGCCAGATGGTATAATCAGTTGACTCGAGCTAAAATAAGGTATTGGAAGGATTTGGCCAACACATTTAAAGAACAATATCATCATGTTACTAACATGATGCCTGATCGTGTTACTCTTCAGAACATGGAGATGAAGCACAATGAGATCTTTCGTCAATATGCTCAGCGCTGGAGGGACATTGTCGCTTAAGTGCACCCACCACTTATTGAGAGGGAGTTTATAACGATATTCATTGATACATTAAAATCTCCATATATTGATCATATGTTAGGAGTGGCGACTAAGAGTTTCTCTGATATCGTGATGTGCGGTGAAATTATCGAAAGAGCACTGAAGAAGGGACAGATTGCTGGTAGCCAAAATCCTACAAAAAACCTTATATGAAAAAGAAAGAAGGAGAGGTGAATAACATAAATTTCTCTGTGAGTAAGACAAAGATAGGAAAATTTTCATCTCTAGGAGAAACTAAGCGCGAGTATAACAATGAAAAAATGACGTTCACTCCTATACCAATGACTTACAGTGAGCTTTTTCGTAGATTAGTCCAAGCTCATGTAGTGTCACCAAAATATATAGATCCAATCAAACCACCATATCCAAAATGGTTCAATGAAAATGAGACATTTGAATATCATGCAAACCTCCAAGGACATAATATTGAAAAATGTCTCGCTTTCAAAATAGTGGTTGAGGATCTGATTAGGAGAAAAGTAGTGTCATTCAATGATTCAGAGACACCTTGTGTAATTACAAACCCACTTTCGAATAATCAAAACCAGGGAGTGAATGCCATTGAAGAGAATCGAAGAATTAAAAGGAATGTTAAAGATGTGAGAGTGACATTGAAGTGGGTATATATTCAAATGAAGAAGAGAGGGTTGTTGAGTCCCATAAAGAAATGTTCAATTGAAATGACGAAAAAGTTCTGTGAGTACCATGATGAAAAAGGTCATCAAATTCAGGATTATCAGGAATTCAGGCAGATAGTCCAAGAATTGATGGACAAGCATGAGTTATAGTTTTATGAAGAAAGAATGATAGAGATTGAAAGGTATATCTGCGCTTCTGAAGAAAATTCAGGAGAAATTGAAAAGAAATTAAAGAAGCATGTCCTGGTCATATCCAAGCCAAGTTATAAGGCAAGCGCTGGAAGTACAACATCCAAGGTGGTGATTAAAACCCCGATGCCTTTTTCTTACAATAGTGACAAGAGCATTCCCTAGAATTATACATGCCAAATTAATACTCCAGAAAACAAGGAGAAAGATATTGATGAAGTTGGATTTTTCACCAGAAGTGGAAGATGTTATGCTCTTGGAAAATCCAATAAAGCAAGAGCTATGATTATTGAAGATCTTGAGGAAAAAGTAAACGAACCTGTCAAGATTGAGGAGACTCGGGAGTTTTTAAAATTTTTGAAACACATCAAGTATAACATTGTGGAACAACTTCTTAAGACCCCAGCACGAATTTTGATGTTATCTCTCTTATTACATTCTGAGGTACATCGAAATACCTTAATCAAAGTGCTAAATGAAACTTTTGTGGTGAAGGATATTCCAGTTGAGCGTGTAGACAAGATGGTAAACCATATTAATGCAGATAATTTCATTTATTTCTATGATGATGAAATACCTGAGAAAGGAAAGGGCAGATGTAAAGCATTACACATTACTGCCCATTGCAAAGGGGTTATCATCTCTGGGGTATTAATTGACAATGGGTCAACCTTGAATGTTATGACATTTGCCACTCTGAATAGACTTCCTATAGATGCCTCTCAAATGAGGGTTTATGGCAATGCTATAAGGGCGTTTGATGGGATGAAACGTAAAATAATGGGGAAAATGATTATTCCTCTCAAAGTTAGCCCTACGATGTTTGAAATAGAGTTTGTTGTCATAGATATACATCCATGTTACAATTGCTTGTTAGGGAGACCCTGGATTCACATGGTTGGGGCAGTTCCTTCTTCCCTTCACCAAAAGCTTCAATTTATCATTGATGGGACTGTAGTAACCATTAAGGCGGAAGAAGATATCATTGTCTCTCTCACCACTGATGCACCATATGTAGGGGTAGATGAGAATACACTAGAGTCTTCATTTTAATCTTTGGAATTTGTTAATTCCACCTTTATCCCCTGAAGGTAAAAGAATTCTCATTCCTCAGCTTTCGAAGAATACAAAGATGCAGTTAAAAGAGAAAATAGCTAGAGGAGCAAAAGTAGGGAAAGGGCTAGGTAAGAAACTGCAACGCATCATTGAATGTTTGAATCCAATTCCTAAATGAAATTATTTTGGCCTCGGATACAAGCCAACTTACTATGATAAAGTCAGAGATGCACAAAAGCTTAGGGAAAGAAAGAAGGGGAGAACACAAGGTGAAGACGTTGTTTGGGGTCCCATGCTTATACCATCACTCTTCAAATCTTTCGTGTCTGGAGGATTTGTGACTGATATACTACAGCAGTCAGGGGAAAGTGAAGAAATAGGAATTGAAAGCCTGAGCATCAATGACATCACAGATGATTCTACTGGAGAATGCTCATTGGCATTAATTCACCCATGTCCTCTTGATTATGTTGAGAGCAACTATACTGTTGAAGAACTCCCTGTGTTCTATAAGCACTTTTCAAAGTAATGCATAAATAACAAATCTGTCTTTTAACCAAAAATATAATGTGACTGTTGTTATTTGTCATGGTTTTAATAAAATGGTGTTTTATCTTCATAGCAAATATTGCATTCAATTATTTAAATTCTTAATTCTTTATTGATAATTATTCTTTTGGTAAATAGTAAATAAAATTTTTGTCCATAGTTAAATATTTTTTTCCATTAACAGGTTCTTAGATATCAACTGTTCGAATAATGATATTCCAGAACCATAAATTAATTTTGAAAATGACACGTGTCTTGAAGAATCTGAGGGTTATAAAGATGATGAGGAATGTGAGTTAAACTCTGAACTTGTTAGAATGATGGAACAACAAGACAGACAAATACTTCCCCATAAAGAGAAAACTGAAACAATAAATTTAGGAACAGAGGAGGATAGAAAGGAGGTCAAAATTGGCACTTCGCTATCACAAGAAACAAGAGAAGATCTTATAAGCCTTCTACGAGATGCAAATATGTGTTTGTCTGGTCTTATCAGGATATGCCTGGATTAGATACTGACATTATGGTACACAAGCTACCAATAAAATCAAAATGTAAGCCTGTTCAGCAAAAAACTTCGAATGATGAGGCCAAATATGCTATTAAAGATAAATGAAGAAGTAAAAAAACAGTTTGATGCTGGTTTCTTACAAGTGGCCAAATGCCCTGAATGGGTAGCAAACATAGTGCAAGTCCCAAAGAAAGATGGCAAAGTTTGGATGTGTGTTGACTACCGAGATCTCAATCCAGCGAGCCCCAAAGATAATTTTCCACTCTCACATATCGATACTTTGGTTGACAATACGGCTAGTCATGCTCTTTTCTCCTTCATGGATGGCTTCTCAGGGTACAATCAAATCAAAATGGACCCTAAAGACATGGAGAAGACAACGTTCGTGACAATGTGGGGCACCTTTTGTTACAAGGTGATGCCCTTTGGACTTAAAAATGTCGGGGCAACATATCAAAGAGCCATGGTTACTTTGTTCCATGATTTGATGTACAAAGAGATAGAAGTATATGTGGATGATATGATTGCCAAATCACAAACTAAGGAAGAACATGTGAAGGTCTTAAGGAAGTTGTTCTTGAGGTTGAGAAAATACCAACTCAAACTTAACCCAGCCAAGTGCACTTTTGGAGCTACTTCAGGGAAATTATTGGGATTTGTAGTTAGTGAGAATGGGATAGAGATAGATACTGATAAAGTTAAAGTAATATTGGAACTACTAGCCCCTAGAATGCAAAAAGAAGTACGAGGGTTTCTAGGGAGATTAAATTATATTGCTAGATTCATCTCTCAGTTAACTGAGAAACATGATCCAATTTTTCGTTTACTGAAAAAGCTAAACCCATGAGAGTGGGATGATAGTTGTCAAGAATGTTTTGACAAAATTAAGAGTTATTTGACTAATGCCCCAGTCTTAATGCCAACAATCCCAAACAAACCATTGATCTTGTACTTGACTGTATTTGAGAAGTCAATGGGATGTGTATTGGCACATCATGACGAAACTGGAAGAAGAGAATGAGCTATTTATTATCTCAATAAGAAATTCACTAACTGTGAGACTCGATATTCCTCGATTGAAAAGTTGTGTTGTGCCTTAGTATGGTCTACTAAGAGGATGAGACAGTATTTGTTGTATCATACCACCTGGTTTATATCAAGGTTGGATCCACTAAAATACCTGATGGATTCAACAACTTTAACTGGAAAAATGGCAAGATGGAAAATGTTGACATCTGAATTTGATATAGTCTATATGAATCAAAAAGTGGTGAAAGGAAGTGTTATTGCCGATTTCCTAGCAAGCAGAGCATTAGAAGACTATAAGATAGTGAAGTTTGATTTCCCAAATGAGGACTTAATGAGTATATTCACTGCGGAAGAAGATGCTCCGAAAGATGAAACCTGGAAAATGAACTTCGATTGTGCCTCGAATGCTATGGGGCATGGAATTGGGGCAATACTAGTTTCACCAGAAGGAGATCATTATCCTTTTACTAGTAGGCTTGCCTTTGAATGCACAAGTAACATGGAATATGAAGCATGTATCCTGGGTATTCAAGCAGCAATTGAGCGCAAAATTAAAATCTTACAAGTATTTGGTGATTCTTCTTTGGTCATTTATGAACTTCGAGGGCAATGGATGACTCAAGACTCTAAATTAATAGAATACAAGGACTTGGTGATGAATTTGATTAAGGAGTTCGAAGAAATTTCTTTCACTTATCTTCCCCGTGAAGAAAATCAAATGGCAGATGCTTTGGCTACATTGGTAACCATGTTTAAGACCAATGATCAACTTCGAATGAGTATAAGAGAAATGCCAGCTCATTGTTGTAACATTGAGGAAGAAGAGGAAGATGGTCTCTCTTGGTATTATGATATTCTCTAGTATGTGAAGTATCGAGCTTATCCAGCTGAGGCAACTAAAATTGAAAAACAAACTTTGAGAAGATTGGCATTGGAGTATGTTCTTGATGGAGACATTTTGTACAAAAAGTCAAAGATCAGGTGCTTTTGAGATGTGTGGATAGAATTGAGGCCAAGAAAATAGTTGAAGAAGTCCATGAAGGGGTTTGTGGAACACATGCAAATGGATTCACAATGGTTAGACAGATCATGAGATTTGGATAATACTAGTCTACTATGGAAGGTGATTTCATCAGATTTTCTCGAAGATGTCATAAATGCCAAATCTATGATAACCAAATACATGTTCCCCCTTCACCACTTCATGTAATGAATGCACCTTGGCCATTTTCAATGTGGGGCATCGATGTCATTGGAACAATTTCACCGAAGGCTTCAAATGGACATCGTTTTATCTTAGTGGCTATTGACTACTTTATCAAGTGGGTTGAAGCTGCCTCATATGCTAATGTCAAAAAAGGAGCGGTTTGCAGATTCTTAAAAAAAGAAATCATTTGCAGATATGGAATACCAGAAAGGATCATCACAGATAATGCGTTTAATCTGAACAATGATTTAATGAAGGAAGTCTGCACAAAGTTGAAGATCAAACATCACAATTCAGCTCTTTATCGCCCGAAAATGAATGGGGCAGTGGAGGCAGCAAATAAAAACATCAAGAAGATCATCACAAAAGCAACTGAAACATATAGAGACTGGCATGAGAAATTACATTTTGCACTGCTTGCTTATCGCACATCTGTTTGTACATTTACTGGGGCAACACTATTTTCTTTGGTATATGGGATGGAAGCAGTTTTACCTGTTGAAGTAGAAATCCTTCTTTGAGAGTATTGATGGAATTGAAACTTGATGAGGCTGATTGGGTACAAAGTAGATTTTATTAGTTGAATTTAATTGAAGAGAAAAAACTGAGAGCTATTTTTCATGGCTAAATGTACCAGAAAAGGATGATGCGAGCTTATGACAAGAAGTTCAGGCCTCGAGAATTTCATGAAGGTGATTTTGTGCTAAAAAGATCCTCCCTATGCAAAAAGACTTTCGTGGGAAGTGGATGCCAAACTGGGAAGGTCCTTATGTTGTAAAAAATGCCTTTTTCAGGAGGAGCTTTGGTTTTGGCTGAAATGGATGGAGAAAATTTGTCTAATCCTGTGAATTCTGATTCAGTCAAGCGATATTACACTTGAAGAAGAAGAGAAAAAGAAAAAAGAAAAAGAAAAAGAAAAAAAATAAAAAGGAAAATAAATAAAGGAGGGTTCAAGATGAAAATCTAAAATAGATGTCTTGAAACCGAAGGAGGATTCGAGTTGAAAATCCATAATGGGCGGCTCGAATATTCAAGATTTGAGATGACATATTCCCTCGAAAGCCTAACAGTGCAGGGAAAATTCTCATACTCACACATCTTTTGTATGATCTGAATCTTCGAGATACATGTCAACTTTCAGGAAAGATTTGGATGAGGAAATATAGTGATTCAACATTTGATATCCACTGTATTTATTCCTTTGTTCTTCTTGTAATGTTTACTTGTTTATTATCCTAAAAGATTATACTTTCTCATTGCCTCTTTTAAATGAAATTTTTTGAGTTTGATTCATTATTCATTACATACAATCATCAAAACAGTGGTCAATAACAACATTGTTTATTATTCTTTATACTAAAAAGTGTCAGAGTATGGGGATTTCAAAATAGGTGTTTATCGGAGAGCACATACAAAAATGTGATCATTGAGAAAGAAGGGTTAAATTGAATAAATCAGTTTTAACCTAATCTTACCTTTCCTAAGCAAAAAATTCCCAATTTGAAGAAGAACAACAAGAGAATTCATTCATTCTGATTGAATTTCTCAGAAAATCAACTAGTGGCCAAAGAATCAACAAAGCAAGATAAACTTTCTCGGGGTGGATCATATAATTCAAGTTCATGAATGAGAGGTTAAGAAAGTAATTCACAATCATAACCTAGACATTGGAAAAAGCAGAAACTTCATGTGTTTCAATCAAAGAGCATGAGAGAACTCAATTGTCAGTCTCGATTTACGCATAACCCTTTAAACATGCATGACAACTCACATACATTTAGATCATCCTTAGGGCATGAAACAATGGCATATGACATTTTACACATGACCTTCAAGACTTATATCGTCATTGAATCAATGAATCAATCATCATCAGCTATGACCAGATCTCCTCATCACGTAGGAGCCGTGTCAACTCTGTGTAACCAAGATTCACCATAGTATAAGCAGTGACGACCAACTTTCCTCATCGCATAGGAAATATGTTACCCCAGATAACTAGCCGTCCTCATTACGTAGGAACCGTGTTATCACCTTTAGATGGCCAAAACTCTTCATCACGTATGAGTCGTGTCATCACCTGACCTGATCACCTCATCACGTAGGAGTTGTGTCAACCTTTGATAATCAATCGTCCTCATTGCGTAGGAACCTAGTTATCATCATTCTTAAAGATGGCCAAGAACTCTTCATCACGTGTGAGTAGTGTCATCACTCGACTAAATTTCCTCATTATGTAGGAGTTATGTCAATCTTTGATAACCAACAGTCTTCATGGGGTAGGAACCAAGTTATCATCTTTCCTAAAGATGGCCAAGAAATCTTCATCACGTATGAGCAATGTCATCCCTTGACTAGATCTTCTCATTATGTAGGAGTCTTGTCACCCTTAGATGACCAAAACTCTTCAACACATATGATCCGTGTCGTCTCCCAAATCAAACAACAAAACCAAAAAAAGAGAAGCAGACAAAAAACGAGTTGTTTTTTCGTCTTTGTCTTATTCTTGTTAACACAAGAATGTGCAAAGATGGGCAACTGTAAACACCCATTTTTGTCTGGGTCTCGCCTTCAACTTGTCAGCCTCTCCACCGACGAGTCACCAAGGCGAGTCGCCTCCGAGCAAGTTGAAATGTCATCATCACTCATATCGGCTAACATAACAACAAAACAAATAAAAATTGTATCAAAGTCAAAAGCAAATCCATAAATCATACCTAAACCCGTCAATATCCTACCAAACACAAAGAAAATGCAGATGCATCCATGGAGATTAGGTGAAGATTTCAATAATAAAATTGAAGAGGAATCGAGCCAAAAAGGGAGGAGGAAGGGATTCGAACAAAGGGGGTCTCGAACTAAAAAACGAGAGAGGGGATTCGAACAAGAGCATTCGAAAAAAAGCAGAACAATAGCGTTCGAACTAAAAAAAATCATCCCCAAAAAAAAAACCATTAAAAAAAAGAGATTTACCTTTTCTTCAAAAGCTCGAACTTGGAAGAGGATTTTCGGTCTTCAAAGGTAACTGTTCAAAATTGCAGCGTTTACTTTAAAAAAAAAATCCTTTGATGATGTTGGTATTTTATCAAAGGGGTATCAATGGTTGTTTGGGGATTTGAAGGAGTTCTCTGGAACTCTCTCTTTATCTATTTTGAGTGGCTGAAGTAAAATCCTTAAAAATGATTTTTTTATAAGCCCCACGTGATGCAGTTTTGGCTACTGGAGAATTGCCTTGCTTTGGTAAAAGGGGAAACTATGTTTTAGATCCCTGTTACTCTTGTAACTTTGTTGTTTGATCATTAAATCAAATTTGAATTGTTTTGTTCTGAGCCTTTGATTTCTTACTGTTTTATTCTGATCCATTTCATATATTTGCTCTTGTTTTTGTGTTGTTCATACTTTGGATATATTGTTTTGTTTTTATTATTCGTTTTAGTCCATGTTATATTTCTAAGCATATATATAATGTTTCTAATTAATTATATAATATTAAATATATTCTATATGTTGCTCTTCTCATTACATACATGCATGATATTATATATATATATATATATTTCATGTGTGTTTCAATCTTTATACTAATGTTTGTTTTAGTCCATGTTATATTTTATAAGCATATATATTATGTTTTTAATTAATTATATAATGTTCAATATATTTTATACTTTTATCTTCTCATTACTACATGCGTAAACTTTATATATTTATGCATATTAAGGTTTATTATATTATACATAAATACATATACACATATAAAATAAAAATTATCTTATTTGCACTAGATCTATTTCTATATAAGTATGCGTATATATTTTTTATATATATTTTTCAATTTAATTTATTTTACTAATTAAAACTTTTATGATTCAATGTATTTTTATATAGCAATTTAATTTATGCAAAGTGTCAATTTTTAATTTATATTCGATTCGCGTTTTATCACTGAGGAGGAATATTCTTTACGAATGAGAAATAATTGAAATAGATTTCTGAGGATAGTAAATTAATTAAATTTCAATAAACGAATCATAATTTAATTTTATATTCGATTCATTATTTCTACCATTATGACAATGTGTAAGCGAAACAATACCAATTTTAGGCGTTGTGGGGCTGCTAATACTTTCTCATGTGTAACCGACTCCCGAACCCATTTTAATCAAATTTTTGGTAAACGCATACCAACTTTTGTCTTAAAAATAATTTTTCTTAAAATTATTTTTAAAAGACATTTTAAGGTATTCAACCTACCTAATCCAAAAGTTGATGGTGACTATTTTTAATTTTATCTAAATTAATTCCAAATCACCTATTTTCCAAAATTAAAAGTCATAACTTATTCAAACTAAAAAGTGGTTACGACACATTCATTATGGATATTACTCTGCTTATAATGATCTTCTTATTATTACTGTTCCATGAATACAATTCAAATGCATGCACGGTTAAAACCGCAACTAAAATTTCAATTAACTCAAATCATTAAAAATAATGTAATAAATATTTTAGAGAAAATACTATCAATATTCTAGAGAATGATCTATAATAAATTAAAATTTAGAAGTGATTTTTGAAATGATTCCATGATTTTCAATAAATGACTAAAGAATTAATTTGTAAAACTTCAAAATTTAGGGGCACTTTTACTTAATTTTGATACCACTACACCGATATCAGTACCATCCAGATGGGCATCGGTACTCACTTAGAATACATATATTAAAATTAATTTCATAATTTGAATATTTCCTCTTGGTATCGATATTTTAGAAACATTATTGATACCAAGATATCAATACCTAAAATTTTTCTTACCAAAAATTTCCCAAACTTTCAAGGAATATCGATACTATGATTCAAAGGGTGATGATAATAAAAAGCATAAACATGGACGATGAACTATTTTATTCATGATTGTATATAATAATATGAGCATGGCTTTAAGCTTTTTATTCATACAAAGGTAAGCTTAAGCTGTATATTCAGTAGTACAAGTGAGCTCCAGCATCAGTTTTCCAGTCCCCAAATCTCCACTTCAAGGAAGCGTATAAGCTGCAAAACAAACGGTTGTGATGTAAGAACTCGGAAATGGAAGTGTAAAAAAAATGGAACAATGGAAAATCATGACTCACGTCCGCATTTGTACCCGACGGGACGGTTGGCGAAGTTGCAGCGTTTAGGGATGGATATGGCGTTCTCGAGCTTAATTCCGGAAGCTTTAGCGGTGTTGGATAGTAAAATGGCGCAGAGACAGCTCGGATTTCGACCCATGTTCTTCACCTTGGCGCAGCAAGCGGCTGAAACAGGAGCTTTCTTCAGTGCCTCATTATCAGGAGACGATTTCCCACATTCCCCTGCTGCAGCAACATTTCCTATCGCCAAAATGCTGATGAGCACAATCAATCCCATAACACACATAAGTTTCAATGCAGCTGCCATTTTTCTCTTATCTGAACAAATCCAAGAACACTCAGCTGAGCCTGAATGCAGATTACCGATCCCGAGGCGGGGTATTTATAACTGAAACTTGAGCATGAGATGGAATTAGAGACCCAGCACTACAGCAAAACTGATATGTAGCGGCGTTTTTAGCGGCGTTTGGAGAGAAAACGCAACAAAATTTAAACTTATAGCAACGTTTACAATCGTAGTGCCACAAATTGATACTTTAGCGGCGTTTGTTGTAAAAACGCTGCAATAGAGTTGACATATAGCGGCGTTTTTACAACAAACGCTACAATAGAGTGGTAAATTAGCGACGTTTATACCACAAACGTCGCAATAGATTAACATATAGTGGCGTTTTAGCCAAAACGCCGCAATAGATCGGTAAATTAGCGGCATTTATACCACAAACGCCGCAATAGATTACACATATAGTGGCATTTATTCTTAAAACGCCGCAATAGTTATAATAAATAGTGGCGTTTTTTTAACAAACGCCACAATAATGTAATCAATAGTGGCATTTTTTTGTATAAACGCCGTAAAATGTTAAATATATAGTCCTCCTTTTTTTCTACCCGAACCCTAAAATCATTTAAACTCTTCTTCCATCAAAGCTTCTTCTCTGGAACAACAATAGCTCTCAAACGATTCCTACGACGTCATCGTTTGTATGTCCCGGCGACCAAATCAGGCCTCTCACCGACGAACTATAACACAACTGTACGGTTTGATCCCTCTTATCATTAATGATCTTTTTCATTTTTTTTGGTCTTCTGAAAATGGGGAAAACCCAAAAAGCTAACATATTTGTGAAAAAAAGAGCAGGTGTTGCCTTGAGTAAGAGAAATTATCGTCATCGGAATGTCTAAGTGGCGTTTGTATTATCTGAAAATGGGGAAAACCCAAAAAGCTAACGTAAAATCAAATAATGTTTCTCCATATACTGTTTATACATATATCAGTCAATTTAGTTGATGTACAGTAGAAATGAAATATGTAAAATATACTAATATTATCTAAATTAAAGGTAATTAGCGGCGTTTGTATCCAAAAATGCCGCTATAAACTCTACTTTAGTGGCGTTTTGAATGCAAACGCCTCTAAAGACTCGTACTTTAGTAGCGTTTTTATATAAACGCCGCTATAGAAATTATCACATAAAATCACAAGGTTTAGATATTAGGAAATGAAGTAGCTCATTGGTTTTTTGCATATGATTGCAAGGTAAGTAAATCCAGAAGATCTTATGCCTATGACCATGTAATGGAAAATGGAACTTCCCAGATCCAGTGATTTTGGACTGTCACATGAAACATTGAAATTGAACTGCTTGAATTGAGAATGTAAGTTCTTTTTGTTTGTGATTTAACAGGAAAATATGTTGTGATGCAGGAGAAGTTGCCAAACTATGTTGCCCCTGTTTTGGAAAATTAATGCTTGAATGGCTAAAGCGCACATGTAGTAAAGCCGGTTTGTTTGTAGTAAAGACGGTTTGTTTCCATTAAGAGCTTTTACATATGGCTTTAATTAGTTAATATTGAGTACAGATTCAAGGAACGCCCAATTTTTGGCTTTTCCATTTGCCTTCTCAATGGAATTATGTTGTTGTAGGTTCATTCTATATAAATTGCTCTTCACATAAGCACATCCATGTATCTTGTAAAATTGTAATATAATGTACGACTTGTATAACATACTAACATATGGTTAGTTTTTTATCAACATAAAATTAGCTAATAAGAAAATGAGTATTAACTAAACTGACAGGGTTATATGCTGACATCCTGGGAGCCATTCTCCCCTGTATATCTGATAAATAACAGAAAAATAGTGTGGTTAGCTTATTTCTTCTATAGTCTCCTTAACGCATCTTCAATAACTAGCTGCAATTCCTTTTATACACTCTGCTGGAGTTTTCTGTGTCATTTTGTGTGTTTGTTTTCATATTCTTATATTAGGTTGCTCGTGAAACCAAAGAATCGCTTCGTGCAATTGAGGCTAATCTGATAGAAAACTTTGATGTGGGTGCCATTCTCCCATTGTGAGGAGGTGTAGTCTTTGTTACCTAGGGAAAATGCTATGTTTAAAATGTTACTGGTTGTCTGCACTTTGGGAATATTTAGCTCTACTGAATTATGAAGAGCTATAGAAAAGTGTTTTAAATGAGTTTCTAATTCTTTTTAAATTATTTCACTTTGCAATTATTTTTTAGTAATTACCATCTGTTTTGACTGATCATGCAACTAGATAGTCAGTGGGAGGCCACTAGAATTGAAGCATTGAACTGGATATTAACCCTTTTAAACAGATATCGTGCTGAGGTGAGGAAGCAGTTATTTTCTCTTTTTTTAATTATGTGCATATTGTTCATGTGTTTTTCTCGTATTTTGTTTTTTCTTTTTACTATCAGTTTTGACTGTTCATGTGCATACTGGATATTTTAGCATTTTTGGTGGAAGAACATCTGATGCTTCCTAAAATCTTATCATGTAAAAAAATGTAAACCTTAAATTATTCTTCCATGTTTACTGCTTGGAACTTAAATGATTTAAATTTTACAGTCCGGTTTTGGGACTGTCTCGGATTCTTTTGGACACTATAATTTATAAATAAGGATTGTGCAAAAGATCCAGTATTAGTTATTCTCTTGGCTATCTTGCGCTGATCCTTTTGGATAGAATGACTCTTCAGAACTATTGTGCCATCACTATCGTGGTTAAGGATATTAGTATAATAAACAAAATTAGTCTTGTTTAATGGATACTAACCCTAAACTTTTCATCACTAAAACTACATGTTCTGGTCCTGATGAATCAGGTTCATGTTTAGATTTTCTTTTTCACCTCTTCTCTCTGGTAGCAACTATTGATTGCAAAGGAATCTGTACCAAGTTCCATAAGACTTCTTAATAAATATTTACTTATCAAATAAAATTAATCACCAATTAATCTTCTTTCTTAATGAAGCAAGGGAAGCAGAGAGAGCAGCAGCCAGAGCAGCAGCGGAAGTAGAGAAAGAAGCAGCGGCAGCACAGAGAGAAGCAGCGACATCACAGAGAGAAGCAGCATATCAGAAGAGATGTGAAGAATTTGAAAAACGACTCAATGATATGATGCTGATGATTCAGAAAACGCAACCTCAGAATCCATCATTGTAGTCTCATTTATGTTATGAGCATTCTACTGAACCTTCTGTAACTAAACTTATATTACGTTAATGAAAACTTTTATTTATTATATTGGATTTGATGTTGTTTGTTATGAATGTAGAGTTTGATATTATTATTGTTTTGTTTGTTGGATAATGGAACAGGTTGAAAAAACAGTTTTGGGGTAATCAAGCATAATTTTTAGGATTGTTAAATTCTGTGTTATTTAGCGGCGTTTGTAAAAAAACGCCGCAATATACCATACATTTAGCGGCGTTTTTATCCTACAAACGCCGCTATATACAGACCTGTACCGGCGTTTTTAGCAGAAACACCGCAAAACATCAATACCTACTGCGGCGTTTGTGAAAAAAATGTCGCAAGACATCAACACCTACTGCGGTGTTTTAGCGAAAAACGCCGCTAAACATCATAACCTATTGCGGCGTTTGTTTGAAAAACACTGCTAAATATTAACACCTATTGCGACGTTTTTATGACAAACGCCGCTAAATATCAACACCTATTGCAGCGTTTGTCTGAAAAACGCTGCTAAATATCAACACCTATTGCGGCGTTTTTATAACAAATGCCGCTAAATATCAATACCTATTGCGGCGTTTTTATGACAAACGCCGCTAAATATCAACACCTATTGCGGCGTTTGTGTAATATCAATACCTATTGCGGCGTTTTTTGTGAAAAAACGCTGCAAACTTTAGCGGCGCTATTTTCAACGACGGTTTTTGCGGCGTTTGTCTTAACGCCGCATGTGTTTTTAGCGGCGCTTATAAACGCCGCTAAAGGTTAAAAAAAACGCCGCAAAAAACCTGTTTTGTTATAGTGCAGGCACTAATGGTATAATGGAGGTTGCACTATAATAAGAGATAATTTTATAATCATCTCAACAACTCTGTAAAACCGACCAAAGCTTGCCATTTAGCCACTTCATCCAATTAATTTCTTTATTTTTTTTTTTGCGGCAACGTGTAATCAACTACTCCCATCTTTATTAACATTCTCATTAGGCCATTACAAGAGTTACATTTAACGTGTTGGCTATTCGTATAAAGAGGCACAGCTACGACCTTCAAACATAAAGCTTAAAATGGGCATATATGAAGATACTAAAACAGAAAGCTTTTTTCTTTTCTTTTCTGAGTTTGATTCATAGAATGTTCAACCATGATCAAATTTGAGACCATAAATGATGCCCTGAGAAAGCATGAATAACTCCACTTATTTAACATTTACAATGACCGGGGTGAATGTTTGTCATTCTTAAGCATCTTCCTATTCCTACCAAATTTAAAGCAAAAGATAAAAATAAAATTGGCTCATGGTGTGCTGTATCTGGGCTCTTTCTCTTCGAACGAGTTCTTCCTATATAGAAAATATTTTATTGTCGACAATATTTAGAATAAATAGTTAAAAGATTTCCGTTAATATTTTTTTAGCTTGTAATTTTAATATCTATTAAAGACATAAATAATAGTTCGGTGACCAAAACATAACAAATAATTAGGGTACTAAACTAAATAAACCCTTAAACTTAAAAAAATAATTTGACCCTCGAATGTAATAAAAAAGAATAGTTTAACTCATCTAGCACGTCATTACAGTGGATCTCCACGTCAGCATCATAGTCATAGTAATCAACGTTTGATTTCGTTAGTTGAAGGGTCAAATGATTTTTTTTTACTTAGTTTAAGGGTTACATTGAGTGTAAAAAAGTTCAGGGTCACATTATTTTTTAAAAAAGAAAGTTTGAGGACATAAAATAGCATTAAGTATTTTTAGAGCATATTTTCTCACAACCCATTCTAGGTAAGGATGTTCATGGGTCAGGTTTTTGACCCATCGACCCAAAAATTAAATAAT